AAAAAAAGAAAGAAATATACGATAAATAAAGTTTTTTTTAATGAACATCTTAATTGAATTCAAAGTCTTAATATGAGAATTCGTAAACATAGTTTGTAATAACATACTTTAAATAAGGACATAATTTTTATAATTAAAATTTTAGTTAATTTTAAAGTCCTAAATTATAAGACTTTTTTACATAGTTCAAATAAGGAAGGATTTAGTAACCACTTTTTTAGTTGTTTTTAAATGTCCTAAATATTTTAAAAAAATTATTAAACGACTATTTTATCCAGTGTAAATTCTACTTTTAAAGGGCAAAAAAAACGAACAACATTTCACTAAAGGCTTTCGTGCTTTTAATATAATATAGATATAGATATAGATATAGATATAGTTTGAGCGGAAGAGAATGAAGTTGAATTCATTTATTGGCGAAGAGCTGCAGCCACATGTTCCAAGCGGCGAAAGTTTTATGCTTTGCCCCGTGATGGCTCCTCTTATGCGCCAATGACACGAACGCAAGGTAATTACTTGGGAGACAAGTTACTTAAATTAATTACTATAATATGTGGGCCACAAAAGTGTCACGACCCAAATCGAAGGGTCACGGCGGGCACTCGGTGCCTAACTCAACTGAGTACCAACGTAACATATCTTTTTTATCGTACTGTCATTGGTAACTGGGTCAACATGACCACAATTCGTAATGTATAACTAAAAGTGGGAAAGCACTGTATCAATGAACCATCATTCTTAAAACATGAATACACATGGGCCGTCAAAGCCTCTGGCATACTGTACAAAATGAACCTCTATCTACAAAGCCTCTAAGAGTATTTGACACCAAATGGGATAGGGTGCCGGCCTACTCATAAGTCTGTAGCAAAATTCTAACACAATGACTCATAGACTCAGCTGCACTCCGAATAAGGTGGAGTCTTACCGATCATTCGTTGAATGCTAACCTCGTCTACTATGAGGGCTCGTCAAACTGATTGTCTATACCTGTAGGCTTGAATGAAGTGTCCCCAACAAAAGGACGTCGGTACAAATAATGTACCGAGTATGTAAGGCACATAAATAAGTATATAAAAGACATGGAAGAAACATGGAGTAAATGAAGCAACCTGTAAGTCTGGATAACCCTATAAATCATGAAATAATTATAGTGTCATGCATATGCGTATGGATGTCATGTCGTGTATAGGTACATGTGTTCATAACATCATCAAGCCTCTGAGGGCATCGCATCATATTATCTCGGGCACTGTGGGCAAAATCATCAACGTATACTAGCTGATCAGGTGGTGGTGCGTATATAACGCCGTAACCTTTTCCTATATATATATATATATATATATATATATAACGCCATCTGGTCATGGGTCAATGTACATGTATAAATGAATGCAATGCATGAGAAATACGTCAATAAAATCTTTCAGAGTGTCATAAGACCATTATGCCTTTGAGTAATATCATGAAGTAAACTTTTTTAACATACGTATTTTCTGAGACCCATGAACAGAAGATGTAATAATAAGACACATGGGAATTCAAGAACATAGGCACCCTAGCACTTCTATGAATAGTGTCATTTATGAAAGTTGTGTATTTGCTCGTTTCGTTTGTATCACATGGATCATGCCAAAAAGAAAGAAGGGATAACCTTAACATACCTGAGCCGGTTCTCTGGACAATCCCTCTAACACACGACAATCGCGACAAAACATGTGACGGCAAAATCGGAGTAGGGAAAAATTCGTATGATATTCTTGAGAAAAATTGCACCGTACTCCATCAAAATCGCAATTCTCACGTTGCTAAGCATTGTAAGAGATCATATAAATCCTTGAATTCCATCCGTTACTTTGTAGTCTTGTATGAATTTGATGAAGTAACTCACGTTATTATTGAAAAATATGATCTTTCCTTGAAGCTTTTCCTCCCTTACTTAGCACCATAGTCTCTCATTTTAATGAAGTAGAGAGATGTATCATTTTTGTGAATTAAAAGAGATTTTTAAGTCTTGGTAGTATGGGCCCCACTTTGTAAGATGACTAAGCCACCGGTCTCTCTTAATGTGACATCTTACTACATGGAGTACGAGTTACAATTTGATTTTTGAGCCTTTATCGCTTGCTGCCACGTGGGGCTCTTTACACTTATCCAATGATCTTGATTAATTAGTTAATCTCCCACTAAAAACTAAAAATTACCTAATTATCCACATAATTAAGAATTATCTCAAATTACTTAAAATACTACTCACACTTTATACATCTTACTATCATGGTTATGTGGTACGTTGTATGACACTAATCCATAAATACGGGATATTATAGCTCGGACCGTATTTTATCCCAAATTGACAAACTCCGACGAAACTCACTTATTTGAAATAGCGTAATACTTATAACCTCAAAAATAATGTCATTCCCGAGCTTACGTCGATTAACTTACGACGAAACTTTAATGTCCGAAAATGCGGGATGTAACATCTCATTTCCGAACTTATATAAATTTACTTATGGTGTACTTTCACGTACGAAAATATGGGGTGTAACATCATTCCCCCCTTTTGGAACATTCGTCCTCGAATGTTGACTGATCCACTTATCATTTTCATAACCGTACAACTCTCACAAAAGGTTTTACGACTGCCCTTGTCATCTAGGTAATTGTTCTGTGAATAAATCCAAAGGCCAGGACATTCCTCCCTTTATGCCTCTTTCTCACACAACGATTGTGGTCGGAATTTTTCCAATCTCGTAACTGTTGCTACCTTCTGTCATGCAGCCTGTACGACTTTTTCCTTGCATGTGCGCCTACGCGATTCTTCTCTCTAGCTTTTAGCCAATCTTTAGGTCTCACTTTGTGAACATATTCATAACTATGACAAGTTGTCCCTCTAGGAACCTATAGGTATAGTGAAGTCCTTCGCCCGGTACTTTGTTGAACTAACGACTGTTGCTATATCTTATTTCTAGACCCGGTTCCCATCCGTATGACTTTACTGCATATAGGCAGGTCATACTATACCATAACTCTTACTTTGATTTACCGTTACTGAGGTCTGCTACCAAACTCCAGGTTACTTTCGTTGCTTGTCCTATATGTATAAATCTAAGTCCTTTAATGCTTCCTCATTACTATTCATCATAAGAATGACGGCCTAATCTCATCTCAAACTTTATAACTTTTATCCATGCATTGTTGATTCACCTCAATATTGATCTACAATCTACCATTGATAACTTGACCTCTATGAATACTGCCGCTAGGGCCCACGTCTCATTGGGGAACATCTGAAATGATTAGACTGATCCACCTGGGGGCGATACTATACTTCTATAACCGTATTTCATAGTATCCCAATGTAATTCACCTTACATGGGTATTTTAATCCCGTATAATTCATGAAATCCCCCTTTTTTTCCTTCAAATTATTACTCAATCGAAGGCCCAAACGCCATCCTTTATCTTTCATAATTACACCCTCATTGTACTACTAGGGCAGCATTCCATCTCTTCTAAATGCTATTAGTCTTAGACTCCTTTGAGTTTATTCAGGCTATACTGAACTTTCTATAACTTAGAGAAACCATTAGCTCTCTTGTTTTTATGGGCTTAATCCCGAGAACTTATCCATTCTTGTCACCTTCTCACTTGCCTTTCCTTGTCTTTACTCATGTCTTCCTAAAACCTTGTCGCTCTACCATACTTTAGCTTGCGATTTACACGTATCCATTTATACTACTCGCAGCCTTCCTTCAACAAGCTTGCACCATAGATTTCCTTATGTTATTTCTGGAACATCAAGCGAGACATTACATCGTCTCAAACTATTCTTTACTCTTTTAACTATACCTCTCGATACCTAGAAATCATAGGCTAGAAGATATTCCACTTATGACACCGCTATCATTCTTGGATACTTAATCCCAACGCTTCTAGCCCTCTATCTGAAGCGTACTTAATCCCAACGCTTCACAACCTTTTGCACTTGAGTATTTCGTACGTTGTTCACCTTTACCTTACTTACCTTAAAATCTCGCATCACACCTTCTATCTCTTTTATGACCTCCCTTCCACATAGGTATAATTTATATCCACAACTTGAAGCTCTATTATAATACTCGCACCTTTGGTGCTGAGTTTTTGGCAAAAATCATCCTTAAACTATGGCCCAAACCAAGGGTACATCCTTGTGTTACCCTAGTGAACAAAAACCATCCCTATACTATTTAATGAGCTGCAAGAATCATTCTTCCATTAAATTTTATCACAAAAATTAACGGCATCAACAAAAGAGCATGCCCAGCACGTGCCTTTTCCCCTATATTTTGTGATTGTCCCTCCCGCCCGATCGTCTTCCACCTTCGCCAAAAAAGACTTCAAAACTAAAAGTTTCTTTCCATATGAACTTTCAGAGAATTATCTAGGGCAAAGTCCTGAGCAAAAAGGGAAGCTTGCCTTATTTCTCGACGCCTCAAATAAGGTAAAGAATCAATAACCACTAGAAAAGTTAGAGATTTTCCAATTGTATTTCAATATTTTGATATTTCTCAAACTAAATTTCTTCATTCTTAAAAACACCAGATATTGCGGGTCGAAGAAAATGAAACAATAAAAAGAATGTTGGCTCGATTTTCGATCATCTACACCCAACTATGGTATTGTTGATATTCAAGACCTTTAAGTCTCTGTTATTGAATATTTTATCTGTTAGTGATTATTTAGTATTATATGCATAATAACTTTCACATTAAATTATGCAAATATTACAGATTTTGCAAAGTCGTAATAACTTTTTGTTTGATATAGAAGTCTGCTATTTTAATATTTCTTTGTTGGCTTTATATATTCATATTTATGTGCAGATCCCATATCTGAGGCCTCACTTTTCACAGTTGAAGTACACCATGGTGGATCATTTGTGCGAACTCCGACAAGAGGCTACATAGGTGGAAAAGTTGAATACTTTGACTATGTAAATGAGACAACGATAAATCTATCAGATTTTAAGAATATGGCCGAGCAATGTGGTTATGACAAGGAGTCAGTGGTATTTTGGTACAAGTATGGTTTAGACCTTTATAAGGTTCGGTTAGTTGGTAGCAACACTGAAGCTGCTAGAGTTGCTACTTGCGTTCCAAAGGAGAGAGTAGTTGAGATATATTTTGAACATTTGGATTTCTATGGTGATAAAAATCAACATCACGAGGAAATGGAAATGAATTCTTTGCCAACAATTGATGTAGGAGCAAACAGTGATGATTCTCATGATGGTGATTTTGAAGATTCTGATTATACCTTGGAGGATGATGATATATTATTCTCCAAAATTGTTGATCCTTCAGCTGAATCTTTTGGGATCAGTATACATGGAAAAAATAGAAAAAATAATGAAAAACAAGATTATGTAAGTGAAGAGATGCAAAGAAAGATGCAGAATGAGGAAGGTGACTCGGATTGTGTATATTCTGATGATTTAAAGAGTTTGAATAGTGACTGTGATTCTGAAAATGAAGATTGTGACTTCCCCAAACACAACCCAAAAACTGATGCTCTGAATCCCAAATTAGTGTTGGGAATGATATTTGGTAATAAAAAAGAGTTTAAGAAGCTGTGATTGCAAATCAAGCCACAATAGGAAAGTCAATCGAGTGGATTAAAGATGACAGAGAAAGATCTAGGGCTAAATGCAGAAAGCCTGGATGTAAGTGGAAGATATTGGGCTCACTAATGCAAAGGGACACAATATCTTTCCAAATAAAGACGTTTGAGTCCGAGCATACCTGTTTTGGATGGAATTACAACAATGAAGTGTCAATGCTAGCTGGATTGCAAGGAGGTATGTTGATAGAATTAAATCAAATAAGACTTGGAAAGTATCAGAATTCAGAGATACGGTGAGTAGAGAATTACAACTGCATGTGAGTATGCATCAAGCAAGAAGGGCAAAGGAAAAGGCTATTGCAATGGTCGATGGACATATAAATGATCAGTTTAGTATATTATGGGATTATTGCAATGAAATTGTTAGAAGCAATCCTGGGACTTCTGTTTTCATGAAACTAACTCCAAATGAAACTCCTAACAAGCCGATGAGTTTTCAAAAATTTTATGTTTGCTTTGCAGCTTGTAAATCTGGTTTCAAGGCTGGTTGTAGGAAAATTGTTGGAGTCGATGGGTGTTGGCTTAAGGGTACTATGTATGAGGCACAATTACTGTCGGCAGTTACTTTGGACGGAAATAGCAACATCTTTCCAATAGCTTATGCAGTTGTCGAGAAGGAAAATAAGAAAACATGGCAATGGTTCTTAACCTATTTGATGAATGATCTTGAAATTGAAGAGCAGTACTTGTGGACTTTTATGTCAGATAAACAAAAAGGACTCCTTGAAGCTTTTGAAAAAGTGTTGCCCGGCGTTTCTCAAAGATTTTGTGTGCGACATTTGCATACCAATTTCAAGAGAGCTGGGTATAGTGGCATGGCTTTAAAAAATGCTCTTTGGAAGGCAGCTTCAGCAAGAACTATTGACAGGTTTGATGCTTGTATGGCTGATTTATTTGAATTGGATAAAGATGCATATGAGTGGCTTTCTACTAAATTGCCTAGTGAATGGTCAAGATAACATTTCTCTTCGCTTCCCAAGTGTGATATTCTGTTGAATAACTTGTGTGAGGTGTTTAATAAGTTTATTCTTGATGCGAGAGATAAACCAATTCTAAAACTTTTAGAGACTATTAGGCACTTGCTCATGGCCAGAATTAATTCAAATAGAGAGAAAGCTAAAAAGATGGAATTTGGGTGACATATGTCCTACTATCAAGAAGGCGTTGGCCAAAACTATGAAGGATGCTGCTAGTTATATTCCTAAAAAGTCAACACATGGAATTACGAAGTCATTGGGCCTATGGAAGGTGACGCCTGGGCTGTTGACTTATATAACAAAACATGCAGCTGTAGGAAATGGGAACTTTCAGGAATTCCTTGTAAGCATGCTATATCAGCTATTTGGTTGAAAAAGGATGAGGTTCTAGACTATGTTGATGATCGAAACATATAGAAAAATTTATGAAGTTTCCATATTGCCTATGAATGGCTCTTGAAGAAGAAGAAGAAAGCGAGAAAACAAAAATTAAGAAGGAAAGAAGAAGATGAGCCAGGAGCTAGTAGGACGAAGTTAAAAAAGAGACAAAAACCAATTGATTGTAAGAAATGTGGCAGACCTGGCCATAACAGTAGAACGTGCACTTCTTCCTTAAATACTGTTGAAATTCATCCATCGGACTACCCTTGTAGTTTGGACTCCATTATGACCGAGGGAGCAACAAGTTCTCATAATGTTGAAAAACTACCGGTAAAAGTTTATTTAAGTTACTTTCATTACAATTTACAAATATAGAGAGTCATATTTTGCGTTTAACTTGTTCTTTCAGGTTAGAAGAGGTACATCGCAGGTTATCCAACAAAGTTACATCTTTCTGTCATCTCAACAAGGCGACAATTGTTGAAGAATTGTGCCTCCTTATTTTATTGAAGAAATACTGATATTTTCTTGTCTTTAATTCGTGTTGTTGGTGTTTGGATCTTTTGATTTTCTGATTTCTATGTTAATATAATGCTGCTGGTTTTATCTTTAATTAATCAATACTATTGTAGTGTATGGAAAAGAAATAGGATTAATTTTTACTTCAGTATTTAACTTTTTACTTGTCGAAAGCCAGTCCATAAACAAATTATCCAAGTACAAACAGAGAAGTGCCTGAAAAAGGAATGTGAGATGGCCAACCTAGAGCCATTTTAATGGTAAAGAAAACTTCTGCCACCAAATTGTTGGCAGCTAGAACCTCCTAGTTGCTGACTAAACTTAGCAAAAGTCAGGGGCTCAATAGGAAGTCTATGTAATAAAGATAAATAAAAGAGAGAATGCTATGTAAGAAAAGATACCATTATATTTTATTTCTCCAATCTTAGGAATATATTAAAAGAAAATCAGCTGACACATGAAGCATACGCTTCAGCCAAAACAATTGGGCATCTACCAACAACAACCAAAACTAGAAACTACATACAAGAACAATAGTTCATCTACAGTCATGTCATAAAACTTTATCAACTATCTTGTGCTGTTAGTTAAGCTTGTTCTCTTTAAAGAAACAGAATGAACTGAACAATTTTTGAAACCCATTCTCCATAAGTATTTTGCGTTAGCTTATAACAATGCTATTCTGGAGATTTTCTCTTTGTTCAGTAAGGCTGAAATTTTCTTGCAGCCCTCAACTGTTGTATCCGCTTCATATCCTGCTCAAATTTGCTCTGCAGCACCATGATCTCTGTGCATAATACAAATGATAAGTCACAAACATGATATCAAGTTGTTCTCCAGTGATGGCTTACACAACTTCTTTTTTATCAATGGAAAGTTAGATGAATTCTTAACTTGCTCGATCTCCATTCTTTCAAATTTTAAGACTATTTGATGCTCTTGGTTAACCATGATATGCAACTTCAGCAATTTTCTTCTCATTGTCATAACAATCTTTAAATTGTACTTCGCGATCAACCACTTTTCGTGGGAGTTCTTTAAATTTTGCTTCGCGATCAACCACTTTTTTTGAGAGTTCTTGAATCACATGAAGGATCTTATATTAGATTCTACGGTTGCTGCAAAAAACAAACAAAAAAAAGTAAATATCTTCGCAAATGCAATGGCCCTTGATATAAACTTGTAACTAAACCAACATGCTAATTTTTTTCTTTTGGGCAGAAAATGTAGTTATCTATGGTAACTAACATCTTCGTCTCCAATATTTTTTGGGGGCATTATGAGTGCAATATTGGAATTACTCTAATCCAGAACGAGAAAAGAAATAAATTAAAATGTTTCCGGCATTTCATCAAACAGGTAAGGGACACCTTGACTTATCAAACTTGGTTACTTCTAATTGTCCTTTGAAAATGCAGTAATCTCTTTGCAACAAAAATGATGAAGAAATCCTTACAGTGAGAAGCCAGATACATTAAGAATGAAGAAATTTAGTTTGAGAAATATCAAAAATCGAAATACAATTGGAAAATCTTTAACTTTTCCGGTGGTTATTGATTCTTTACCTTGTTTGAGGTGTGGAGAAATAGCTCTAACATCTCTTTTTGCTCAGGTTTGAAGTCTTTTTGGCGAAGGTGGAAGACGATTGGGCGTGAGGGACAATCTTGGAAAATTTAGGGGAAAAGGCACGTGCTGGGCATGCTCGTTTGTTGATGCCGTTAGTTTTGTGATAAAATTTAACGGAAGAATGCTTCTTGCAGCTCTTTAAATAGGACAGGGATGATTTTTGTTCACTAGGGTAACACAAGGATGTACCCTTGGTTTGGGCCATAGTTTAAGGATGATTTTTGCCAAAAACTCATCCGATGGGAGCTTCATTCTGACTTCTTGTGAGGCTCGTTCTCTTCTAACTGGCTTTATCGTAGAGCCGTTATAAAATATGGCTATTGTACTGTCTCTCTTGTACCTCCGATATTAAGAGTGATTCTGCTATGTTCTCAATCATGATTTCTATAATCTTCTGGGTCCAATAATCAGACTCTTGCTTTACTTAGTTGATGTAACTCTTTAATTTCCTCTTCCCTCTGATCAACCTTTATGTAGGCTTGAGCTATCTTTCGATCTGTGGCTGATGATATTAGTTATTACTTTAGCCCTTCATGAACGCTATGGAATATCCATGATAAAATTTTCTAACAACTCAATCCTTTGTCTATGACATGGACTCAGTTCTTTATTATAACTTATACCGGAGCTTCTACGACTGTATGGTTGTCAACATATACGCTGCATGGATAATACTCCAAAATCTTGAGTGCGTTTATAATGTAGCTAACTCTGGATCATTGATCGAATAATTCCTTTCGTTCCTTCTCACTTTTCTTTAAATGTAAGCAGTTACTTTTCCTGATCTTCCTGCCCCCTTGTTGTGTGCATACTTAGCTTACCTTAGTGCCCACACATATTGGAATTCCATACAACTCATATGATCTTGAATATCACTTCTGATTTTACTTCTCGTTTATTTGCCACGGTAGGTGCCACTTTCCTATAGAGTGCATACAATGTTGTTGTGAGACTGTTGTTATAAGAACATTTCCTCTTTAGGTCACTGAGCTTAGCTAGGTTCAAGCCTTCTTCCTTACTTCCTCAGCTAGTCTTTCCTTGTAGTACTTAGGGAGGACCCTCTGACTCTTGTAAAGTAGTGATCTTATTACATCGTATTCCTGATAGATTTTTTGATGTTCGCACTCATCTGTAATTATCCTTAGTTACTTACCTCCACACTCATGTGCCCGTACAGTTGCTTCTGAACTAAGGTTTTGATTGTCTTCCCAGTAGGACTCTCTTTTATTTCCGTAATACTCATACAGTACCTTTAACTATCCTAAATCCTATCTGAATATATCTCAAATATTACAATGTCATAACTGCGAGGCTGAATTTACTGTATTGGGTTTTACTATATTTATCTTGCATGATCTGCTGATTTGTCCGTAACCTCTGGTCTAGCCATAACTAGGCTCTTCCTGAATCAACTAATAACTACTCGCTGGCCCTCTTCCTGAATCAACTAATAACTACTCGTTAGCCCCTTCTCATATCAATATTCTGCGTAATTTTTCTTTGCTTATTTCCTTTGTCTTAACTTATCTCTCGTACTGGCTCCTTATTTAAGAATAACATCCCGGGCCGGAACCCTTACTTCCTCTCCTTGACGTCGTGCTTGCGTAATGTTCTGGAATCGTAGCATATACGTAGGAGTTGAATAAGTGTAATCTCATCCCTTTCTCATTTTTATCGCATTCTTCCTTTACCATTCCATAGTTACTAGAACCACTAAATTCTGACTTAATGCCACAACACTCCATATTCCCCCATTTAGGGGAGTACTAAGATTCAGAGCTATAACGATCTACCTATATATGTTTTACCTCTTCATCTTTTGCGTCTGTTCACATCATCAATGACCCTTACTCGCCTTGCGGTAATCCTTCTGTACCAAGGATAACGAAATTCCTTACTCGTGAGGGTGGCACTTAGTGCAACTGGCACATATAGTCCCTTAAGTGTGACGATCCGACCCGTCGTCACGTGACTTACCGCCCTGTTTTCCCCATGTTATGCTTCTTCATGTTTCATTATCGGTATTTGATGTGTTAGAGTTGGTTTGGAGTGGTTTTGATAAGAAATGAGACACTTAGTCTCTTTTAAGAAGGCTTAAGTTGGAAAAGTCAACCGGATGTTGACTTTTGTGTTAGAGGGCTCAGATTTGAATTCCGATGATTTGGTTAGCTTCGGGGGATAATTTGTGACTTAGGAGTGTAATTAAAAGTGATTTTGGAGGTTCGGAGTAGAATTAGGCTTGAATTGGCGAAGTTAGTATTTTTGGCGAATTCCGGTTGACAGGTGAGATTTTGATCCGAGGGTCGGAATGGAATTCCGAGAGTTGCAGTAGCTTCGTTAGGTGATTTGGGATGTGTGTGCAAAATTTCAGGTCATTCGGAGGTGATTTGGTTGGATTTTTTATCGAATGCGTATTTCGGAAGTTTTTGAAAAACTTAGGCTTGAATTCGATGAGAAATGATGGTTTTAGTGTTGTTAGAAGTGTTTTGATGATTGGAGCAAGTTTGAATAAGGTATTGGATCATGTTTGTATTCTTAGTTGAGGGCCCGGGGCTCGGGTTTTTGCCAACTTCGTGATTTTCGATGTTTTTCGAGTCTTTTCGATTGGGTTATATTCCCTTAGCATATTGTGACGTATTCGTTTTGGTTTTTGTCAGATTCGACGCACGAAGAGGTGAATTCGAAAGGCAAGGGCATAGCAAGCTAGGACCTTGGCCGACTTGAGGTTAGTAATAAATGTAAATGCTGTGTTGAGGGTTTGAAACCCCGAATTTGCATAATGTAGTGCTATGTGAGGTGACTTGCACGCCGGATAACGGGCGTGGGGTAGAGCACCGTCGGGGATTGTGACTTGGTCCGTCCCGCTTAATAAAATTACTACCTAATTGATTGTAGTTTTATGATATCCTTATAAAAATGGATTAATTGTCATATTTGGGCTTCGTGCCAACTACTTGAATCCTTCAGGGATTATTTTTACTGGTTTCTTACCATATTTCTAGATATTGAACTCAGTCCTGGTATTTAATACTGTATTTGAAATCTCAGCCATTTTCTTAAATTAGAAATTAAGTTAATATTTTTAAATGAAGTTAGAGTTGGATATTTTTATACTATTGTGTGATTTTTGGACTGAGTATGGGATCGGGCTGCACGCCGCAGCAGTATTATAATGATATTGATATGAGGTCAAGGGCCTTTTTGATGCAACGAGATGGCTTATTATTGCGCTTGGGCCGTAAGGGGCCCCTCCCGGAGTCTGCACACCCCCAGTGAGCGCCGTCTAATGAACATTTCATCATGGAGGAATCCGGCGACATCAAACCCTTGGTGAGTCATAAAGCAGTAGATCATAGCTGCCCGTGGCCCATTCACATCAGTGGTATTGCTGGATGGTAGCAGACGGGTGTTGATGAACGTGAGCCAACACTTTGCCTCCCAAGTAAGAGACTGTGAGTGTATTGTCGT